AGCCTAAGTGCACCAACAAAAAAATAAATTGCATGACATATAAAGTGTTGAAAATAAATAAATAAACACAGTGTGCTTTACAAGCAAAGCACTTGGGAAGAAAACCACACCAACAACCTAACCTAGGTTAGAGTCGGTTGTCTTAGTAAACCATGTAAGTGTGTGAAAGAAATTGTGTGGCTTTAGTATGTCCTATGGGAGTTTAATGTTTAAGTTGCATGTATTTAGAATATTGTTCATTAAGGTTAAAAGGGGATTTTTGTTAAAGTTTAACTTATTTGCATTTGAATTTATTCTTTGAATTTTTAAGGTTTGAAGTTGATTATTTAATTATAAAATATTTATAAATTAAAAACCCCAAAGTGCAAGGGCTACTAATCTATACAACCTAAAGCTTATAAATAAAATGTAAGGATAGAATAGATGATCACATGAAGCCTTTAAAGATTTATTAACAAATTATTAGGGATAGAGAAGGGACCCTTCAATCTAATATACATGCCCTTCAAATGGAGTCAAACATGATGTATATGGTCAAATAATTTATTTGTAGCATATTAGGTGCGTTAGTAATCTTTTTAATCTTTTTCTTGCTACTTTCTCCCTTTTTTATATGCTCTACCCAAATTATTTTGTCAATTTATCGCTCAATAATTTTAGCGATCATATCAGCAAACATTTCTAAATTATATGAAGCCATTGAAAATACTTTATTGGCAGGTTCATATTTATTTCCTTTTTTTTTTTGGTCCATTTGTTTGATCAATAAACAAATCATAAATTTAAGACATATTTTTCAAACAAAATAAACCCTTTGAAACAAAATAAATCTATAAGCAAATAAATAATGCAACTTAGATCACAAGCAAATTCATCCACAAACTATTGCTCAAATACCAATTTATCATGCCCCAAGATATAACAAGAAAGAATTTAATTTTTTTGTCTTATTATTATCTTTTTAACTCATTCATTTACAATCAGATCAATTTGATATCTAGAGCTAATTAATTGTATTAAAGAAATATAAAGAATGAGAATATAAGTCACATTATTATAATCAATATTTACATTTTATTTCTATCTCTAGGGTCCAAAATAATATATATATATATATATATATAAACCAGATAAACTGAAATAAAATTAAACTAGAAGTGTAGAAACAAAACTATGCACATAATCACTTGTAAGGTTGAAACATGACATTATATATATATGAGTGTGTGTGTGTGTGTGTGTGTGAACGTGCGTGTGCACGCACACTTGCATGCATGTGTGTTGTATTCTTTTTACAATATGTCTGCCTTTGTGTATGTAATATTCCATTTACAATATAAATTTTGACTTTATATGCCCCATAATAGTCAAATTTGGAGAAATATATCCACTTTTATTTATTAGAGAAATATGCTTGAAAGTTTACTGCAAATCAAAATGCACCTTAACCTTTCATCTTCCTATCACCTTCTATATTTCTGGCCATTTCAGAGCATGCGTCTTCAATGTATGGAAAAACATTACAATGATGGCCTCTCCTTACTTTTCACCTTTGAAGTGAGGGATGACTCATAGTCTATCTTTTATGATTGAAAATAGGATTCACACTTTAGCTCCTAAGTCACTTGGCCTTTAGGCTTCAATTTATCTATTAGTTTTCATGTATGAGCCATCTTTCAACTATATCTATCATTAAAATGATAATAAAATCATTATTAGACAATTTTAACGATCTTTGAACCATGAAAATATTTTATTTGATCGTTTAAAAAAAATTATTCAGTCTATTCAATGAGATTTAGTAACATCTTAACCCATGATTTAATAATATTTGAACTAACATCAATGCATTATAACCTTTTTCAAATTGATTTAAACCATACTTGATCACTTTCTTGACTTTATGTTTGACCCTTCATCAATTATGTTAAATTATCTTTGAAGAAGGGTCAAAGAAGGTTTCATCAATAGTTCAAATAAGATTCAAATAAGTTCAAACAAGGATTTGAAATTTCAAAGTTGGTTCAAATAATACTAAATTATTGGTTTAAAATGTTACTAAGATTCATGATGGTGTTCGGTCATTGTCAACTATTGTTTGATCATGCCCTAATCATATTCAATAGATGGAACAAACACGACCTTTAGGATTGCAGAGTTTGGGTTGGGATGTCATGGGAGATGATATTATGAGGACCAAAAAGAGATATGTTGCACTATGAGGCATATATAGTAGGGAAGAGTGCCTTAGTCCAATACAATGTAATTGGATATATATTATCACTAAGGTAGTTGGCTTATGAAGAGATGAAATGGATTTTATTTTCATTTTAGAGTTAAGAAGTGGTTAAATAAAGGTGGAGAGTAGCTAAATAATATTAAAAAATAAATAAGATTTGAGTAGAAGTTAGATGTATCATCAATCTTCCACAGAGCTTTTTTATATAGGTCATCTCAAGAGAGTACGGAAGAGGATTAAGAAGAAAGTGAGAAGGTTCCTACCACTGACCCGACCTTTGATTATGTGTAATAAGAGAAGGATATAGAAGGTTCAAAGGTTCAACCCCTTGTCATTGTATATGCATGTAAGGAGGGAAAGGAGTCATGGGATCAACCGCATGACAATGTATAACCCTAGAGGGGAGGACATACTGGATTAATACTAGTTATGATATGAATATATAAGGTGTCCAATCTAGTTGTTGAAACTATAAGTAATGATGCATAATTTATGAATTTCAAATTATGGACTCAAAGGAATAAGAACTATTTTATTAGGGATTTCATAGCTCCATTGGGGAAAAGGCGCAACCTCAAGGATCTGCGCACCATTGATTCTCTTTGTTTAATAGATGAGGAGAAATTATCTTCCTTGAAAGCTTAAATGTCAAGTTTGGTAGACAACTCCAAAAAAAGGGGAGATAGGAGTTGACTTTGGGAGCATTAAGTTTTTAACCAGTTGAATATTACGACTACTTGGTGAGAATTCTTTTGACTAATTGATAGTATATTTCCATCATTTAAATAAGCTTTTTTTAACTAACTTCTTTTTCATTATTTATTAATTCTTTATGTTACTTAATAATGGTATATGATTTGTGATACCTTAAGGCTTATGACTCTGGCATAATTATATTGAATGAATTATTTAATCAATATTGTAAATCAACAACCTTAATTTACAACAAATTCAAGAGAAATGAAGCATTAAATTGGCCTGACGTGGTAGTTAAGTATGGCATTGGAGATGACAAAAATTTCCTGTGAAGTTATGGGCTAACGTAAGACTCATATATTTTCTAATGAATTGAAATAATGTTGATTGAATTTTATGTGAGATCTCACTTCCTACAAGTTCTTAACAGTGTATAGTTGTGAAGGGGATAATGATTATGTTCTACATTAGCTTTAATTAGTTGCTTAAGGAATCATGACTATTTGATAAAAAAATATCCTCACACATAAAGTAGGGCAAACATTTGGAAAATTTAACTTATGTAGTTCTTGTATATATAGTCCGATGATTGATCTACGTCTTGCTTGAGCAACAATTGTGGAGAGTATGCAATACAACATTTTACAGTTGATTTCATAAAAAATCTTTTGGATGTTACTTATGATCACATACAATTCTTCAATAAGAATTGTGTCAAGTTATAATTATAATGTAAAAATTAACTCTTCATGTTCATTTATTCTTTTTTTTTTGGGGAAAATTTGGCCGAAGCCTGTATTAATAAAAAACGGTTACAAGTAATAAAATAACTCACTAAAGCCATTAATGGCCGACTTGAAGAAGAAAAAAAAAAAGGAAATAAAACTAGAAAAAAAACTAGTAAATGGCCATAAACATTGCCATCTTAACAAAGAAACAAGTAAAAGACTTAAAGAACTCAACAAAAATGAAACAGATTTATGTGAAATAGCTCTGGTATATACTCTTCCCAGAGATGCCATACTCATCAGTAGTAAAGAACCCAAACAGTCTGTTCCAGCAATCAGAATTCAGATTCAAAGTGTACCAGCTCCTAAGCCAAGAGGTTCTGGGCTCAGGTAATTAAAGGATAAACAGATAGGTATCGAATCCCTGGTTGCCCGGAGGCCGTCCAAGGGAGCAGCAAAACGGAGCATCATCATTGTCCAGAACGGCTTCCCCCTGCTGCAGAAATTAGGCAAGAAAGCGTCCAGCATTGACATAGAGAATGAAACAGTTGATATAATCCAGCCACAATCATAACATTTCCAGCAGATAGAATGAATTTTTCCATGTTAAAACCTTCTCAAATACCACACTTTTAATACCCAAAGCAACAGTAACAGAGCTTCTGAAGTTCCCTCCAAACCTCCTAGCATTTCTCTCTTTCCAAATGAAATAGGTAGTGCAGCAAACCATGAATTTATAAAAAATTTTCAAATTTTTATCACCTTTGCATGTCTCATTCACCCAGGCAAAAAGATGCAGTAAGGTAGGTCTAAGAATAATCTTACAAGAGTTTGGCAATACAGCATTTAAAACATCAAAGGTGTAAGAACATTCGAAGAAAAGGTGATTTACCGTTTCTTGGTGCAAATGGCATAAACTACATATTCTAGGCACAGTGATATTCCTAATATAAAGAGCATCTGCTGTTTTTAGTCCCCCAATCAGTGCCAGCCAAACAAACACACTATGCTTCAGACAGTTCCCTTTATGCCAGACATGCTTAAACCAATTGACATAATCAATATCAATGTAAAACTGCTCAATGTAATGTTTAAATTTGGAATTAGATTTTCCATTCCAGATTAAACAAGGAGTATGTAAATCAGACGAATGATGAAATAAATTTCTCAACTGATCCGGCAAAAAATCAGGTAAATTCCAACCATTGTCCTGAAACGGAAGCCACTTGACAATCAACATTCGGAACAGGTTCTCCCAAATACTCTCTTTTTTTTTTATAAAGGAAATAATAGATATGAACGTGGGATATTTCGGGTGGCGATATGACAGGATAAAAAGATTTGGAGATGCAGCTTTCTAGTTTGTCGCCGCCGTACTTTTATCGCCAATATCCGCTACTTGGACGGTCCACAGAGTGCGAAGCAGAGCAAAGCAGCGGCGCCGACCTCAGCATTGCCACCGACTTGCGGTCTCCTCTCCCTCTTGTAAACCCTTATTCGAACCCTAATATCTCTATCATTCGGAATCCACGCTGATCAGAACCCTAATGACCCGATCGGGCCAGGAATCGGTGGAGGGCCGAGAAAGATGACGAGGAAGTGCTCGCATTGCAGTCACAACGGGCATAACTCCCGCACGTGTCCGAATCGCGGCGTGAAGCTCTTCGGCGTCCGGCTCACGGATGGCTCGATCCGGAAGAGCGCGAGTATGGGGAATCTATCGCTGTTTGCTGGATCCGCTGCCGGCGGGTCGCCTGCCGATGGGCCGGAGATAGCCGGAGCAGCGGGTGATGGATACGCGTCGGAGGATTTTGTTCAGGGGTCATCTTCCAGTTGCCGTGAAAGAAAGAGAGGTTAGGCGAATGTTGTATGGTAGTCATTGTCTTGAATGATTTTGGGTCGTCTTCTTTTGTGACAAGATTTTTTGGTTTCTCGATTTTTAGGTATATGCTGATTTAATAGTCTGCGCTTGATTAAATAAGTGGCAGATTGAGCTTGTTCGATTTTTCGCTTTAGTGGTCAATTTGTTATGTTTGATTAAAAAAAGGGCCTATGAAGTCGAGTTGAAATCAGATATATGGATTGTTTCAGTCTATCAATGGGCTGATTAGAAAATGCATCTTCCGTGTATTATTACAGAAAAAAAAAATTGCGGTTTCGTTTCACATTCGATATCGTCCTTATTCGTCCGGTTTACTTTAATACTTGAAGAACGATGCAGGTCACAGCGTGTTGCTCCTTTGAAGGAAATAGAAACAAAGAGGATTCCTTTAAGATTTGGTTGGATTTTCATAATTATTTCATTTCAAAAGACTGTATTAATTTTCCTTCGAGTAAAAGGATTGATATCTCAGTAATATCATTGATGATTAAATCCGTTTCTTATATTCATTATTTTAAGGTTCGTGCTTATAGAAACCATAAAGAGTTGAACTGTAAACCCACTCCACTTTTCACTAAAATGAAAAGCAAAAACATTGTGGTTGAATGGCAGCATCGGGGAAGTAATAGGTCTTAGGGATATTTTTTATGGTAAGGTTGAAACAGCAATAACAAGAGGAATGATACTTAGAAGGCTTCAGGCGGTCTCATATAGTTCCTAACTCATTCGGGAATGAATGACATCTAATCATTCCTAAAGGTTTCACATGATTAGTGGTTAGGATTTTGCCAGAGAAAGAAATTATTAATCTCTTTCTAGATTTAACAGAGTGACATGACTTAGACTATTACTTAGTAGCCCTTGTACTTACTCAATAATGGCAAATGAGTTCAAAAAAGAAGGAAAGGCATAAATGCCCTAAACAAATAAAGAGAAGACAAAACCTTGTTAACAAAATTTTGATGCTTACTCTACTTTAATGTCTTAAAAGGTAGGGATGTAGTTCAAAGTGTAAATCCCTAGGCACGAGTGTAAGCCCATGAATTTAATATTTTTAATCTTCAGAAATAGGAAAATATGATTAAAATTATCAAATATTAGGGAATAATTAAATAAATTCTAAAGACCATTGACATATGAATCATATTCAAACTCCAATTGACACAATAATATAAAGTTAAACTAAATTAGACTTCAAAAGGAAGTAAGAAAAATAATCATGCACTTCTTAAGCCCTTTACCTTTTATATATTCTCTAATTAAGCCCTTTACCTTTTATGATTTATCTAAAATTAGATGTAAGTGCAGGTTGAGCTGTTGCAAATTCAATTTCAGGAACAAATTTTAACTCATTTAAGGCTTGAGTCTCATCTTTTAATACATTCATAGTTGTTTCCTTTAATTTTGTTGCATATGCGACTGAAACAAATGCTGGCAAGATGTGTTGCATGCTTTTGGATTTTTGTTAAAATAAGGCTGAATCATTTGGATTTAAAACTAAAAGCAAATAATATTATCATTCAAGTTTTTTACATAGACAAATAAGAAGGTTATTTATTATTCACTATCATTTAATTATTTGATAATTTTAAATTAATTTAGGCTAACTTGCATCATGGGTTTTATTGCCTTTCCAACTGGGCACAAAAGACGCACTTCATGTTCTTGGGGTGATCTCTAGGCCCATGGCCATGTGCCATACCGCATAGGCCAAATTTATCCCTCTAACTTCATTGAGGGCTATCTCATAAAATGCCTTTTAAAATATTGATTTATTATTACATGTAGTGGGATATTGGTATTATCGATGAATGGCTTGATGAGGTCCATCAACTCTTTTGAGTTGAGAAGAGCTTTCTTTTTGAGATTTAAAATCTTAATATTCTAGAAAACTTTAAGGCAAGTGAATTAGCCTTTCATGTGGCATCCAACTATCGACTAATGGTGGATGCTCGAACCAACATATTTGGTATGTTTGAATGCTATATGGCCTAAAGGCAACCTTTTTTGCCACAATCTGGTCAACCTCATGCTGCTTTGGTACTGTTTGATGGTAGGATGTACATAAGCTTTACAATAGTGGAAGCAAATATTCCGATTGACGAAAAACTTATGATAATACAGGTGGCTTATACCCTGATAAAGCAAAAAACTTTCTACAATGAAAGGTGAATTAACATGAATGTATAAGCATTAAGACCAAGCTTTCTAATGTGCTTGTTGGTTTCATTGGATTTAGTAGGTAGTTTCTTACAGGTGGAATGTTTTTTCTTTTGGAAGAGATGAATCCTCATCATCTCTTTGGAAGGCTTAGGATAAATACCACACGAGTTGCTACTCATTGGTGCTTCTTATTAGGGGAGTGCAACAAGCAAGCGAAACAAATCTAAAGTGGCATGATAGACCTCATTATAGCTGTTGTTTTTGTTCTTTAATTCTCTTTATTTGTGTAATTGTTAAAGCTATTTTTACTTTTTTTGTATTGGAGGATTGTTTGTGTAATTTCATATTAAATAAATACCCTGGGGTGTGGCTATAAATAGTCCCCTTACCCTTGTTTTATACCATTCAATTCATATTTCTTTCAAGTGAATTCCTTCTCCCATTGTGCTAGCTATCAATTTCACAGAAAGAACCGTGAACAAGGATTCCTATCCCTGATAGTCTGCTGTTAGGCGTGCTGCTGGTGTCCTCGTAAGGCATGAAGTTACTGTCACATGGCTTTGGAAGAACCGTGGAGTGGTGGTGCACCATCTCTTTTGCTGTGAAGAACAAGAACTGGTGAAAGGCTGACTGGAGCCCTGTGTGAAACAATGGAGTTCAGGTTTCTGCAAGTGATAAGAAGATTTCTTGGATGAAAGCACCGGTTAGTGCATAGAGTTGGGAGGATTTGGCAGAAGAATGATAATTGTCATGAAGATTCCATAACAAATGAGCCAAAGGAAAAAAAGAAGATCAATGCACAGGGATTAATTAATAAGAAACATAGAAACGCGTTAATCTTCTTATGTCTAATTATTGAGTGTTTATCAAAATTAGATGACATTTTTCTCTATTGGTGGTAATAGAGCTAGATCAAGCAGATCAAAGAGGCAGTAGATTAAAGATTCAATAAAATATTGATGTCTAAGATTGAGATTGAAATGTTTACCTTTCTCAATGATTTCAGCCTTTGGAGGTTGATAATGAAGTCACTTCTTGTGCACTATGGTTTGGATGTGACTATCAGAGGAGTCAATCCTAAAAATTGAAAAAAGATTGCATGGAGAGGTTTTAAACAAAGCACATAGTGCAATTCGTCTAAGTCATGGAGATAAAGTTCTTCGCGAAGTTGTGGATGAAAGAACATCTATCCATACATGTAGAAGGTTGGAATCCTTGTATCTAAAAAATTCTTCTGTTAATCATTTGTTCTCAATAAGAAATTATTTACATTGCAAATGGATGACTCCAAACCATTGAATAAGCATGTAGATGATTTTAATTGCATAGTTTTTGACATGAAAATCATAGGTGTGGGAATAAATGATGAAGATCAAGCAATTATTACCCGAAGTTCATTATCAAATAGGTATGTGTATTTTTTGTGCTGTGTTAGAAGTAAAGGCTGCACTAAATTCAAAATAATTTCAAAGAATGCTTGAATCTAATCAAGATAGTGTGCACTTGGAGGGCTAATTGTGTAAGGAAGATAAAAAAAATGCGAGGCCAAATTATAAGAACCAACCAAGATCTAAGTCAATGGAAAGAAGGAAATGCTTTCTTTTTCATAAAGAGGCCATTTCAAAAAGTAGAGCCTAGAAAGGAAGAATAAGAACCAAGAAAGGGTCATGATGGACGATATGTTGTGATAGTGCAGGAAGGCTATGACTGTGATAAGGTCCTATCAATCTTAGATTTTGATTCAAACAATGAATGTGCCTTAGGGATGCTCCTACCATACATCCCCAAATAGGAGTTAGCTTGAGTCTCTTAATGAAAAAGATGGTGGTGCAGTGTATCTTGGAAATACTATGGGATACAAAGTTTAAGGTGAAGGAGCCATTTGACTCAAACTCTATGATGGCATGGAAAGACTGTTTAAGAATGTGAGTTATGTTCTTGAGCTTGGAAGAAAATTACTTTCTATATTTTGCGATTAGATTGTATTGGATATGCTTTTAAATGTGGTGTTGGAAGTCTAAAGGTGCATAAAGGGGTGTGTGTGAAGGTTTCTTGATCATCAAGAAAGATATTCGTATGAATGGAGTATATACATTGCAAGGTAAATTAGCGATTTCAAGATGTTTTAACTTGTCTTGTAATCTTGTTGATGGAACCAAGTTGTGGTATCAAAGACTAAAACTGGGAAGCTTTAAAGGGCTACATGAATAGTGCAAGTAAAGCTTCACTGGAATTAAGAAGCCTACATATTTAGATTTTTGTTTACACTAGTCGAAAAATGCTAGAGGTTGAAGTTTGTCACTTTAGACCATAATTCTAAACAAAATTAAAATTATGTATATTCAGATCTATGAGGTATTGGAAGAAGTGAGTCGTATGGTGGAGCAAGGTGCTCTCTATCTTTTATTGATATTTATTCAAAACAATTGTAGGTTATTTCTTGAAAAAAAAAATGTTGCCTTAAAAAAATTTAAAATATGGAAGACTCTAGTTGAAACTCAAACAAGAAAGAAGGTCTAGAAGTCAATAGCTGATTACAACCTTGTGTTTTGCTCAGATCAATTAGTAGCACAAAATATCATAATAAGGTTGGCTCCGCAGCAAAATGGGCTAACTGAATGTTGTAACATGACCATTCTTGGAAGTTTAAGATGCATATTGAATAATGTAGTTACACCAGAGACATTCCGGGTAGTAGTCTGTACAATTGTTAATTTGATAAATATGTGTCATTCATCAACTGTTGAGTTCGATACCCCACAAGAAATGTGGAGTGGGCAACCAATAGACTAACTTTATAAAAGTATT